TGAGATGGTTCGTCGAGCTAGACGATACTATCAGAGCCCTTCACATCGAGGGTGACGAGTTGCGAGTCACCTTCGCCGTGTCAAATTTGACAGGACGAGTAAACACTTGGGCCTTAGGGCTCAAGCTTCACGACCCAAACGTGTTTGAGTTGCTCAAGATCTTGAAGTCTCGGCTCAAAGAGACGTTTGATCACCCAAGAGCCGAGTTCAGATCACGCTCTGCACTCTTGAGGCTAAAGCAAGGTAAGCGTGATTTGCACGCTTACGCACAGCACCTGCGCTACCTTGCGAGTAGCGTCACGGAAAACCCTGTTGATGAGCACACGCTCATCACCGTCTTCATCTACGGCCTTGTGGATGGGCCGGTGAAGACCTACGTGTTCCGAGAAAACTTTCATATGCTGGAAAAGGCGATAGCGTATGCGGAACAAGAAGACTTCAGCCTGAGACAGTCTCAGGCTAACTCGTCAAACTATCATCCTACGAGACGACAGGAAACAGGAGGTCCTGAACCAATGGTCCTCTGTTGTATCGAGAGCGAGCACCTTCGCTGTCTGAGTCATAAGCGAACGGCAAGATGCCATCGCTGTCAGAATATTAGACACTACGCTTATGAGTGTAGTGTCCCGAGCACTGCAACACGTCCAAAGACAGAACGTGACGACCGCCATTGGCCGAGGAAAGGTCCAAGGCGCGGGTCCGACCATGTCGCGAAATCGCGACAGCAAGTCGGACCGCAAAAAAACGGCCAGGGTCAGTAGGGGCGGACCGTTCTGCTGATCCAGCATCGTCAAGAGAATTTGCAGGACTCTTGACGAAGATTGCTCCCAACACACAGTCGTTGTGTGTTACTGCCCTTAGTGATGAGGTGTCCCTCATAACTTTGAAGATAGAAGTGACAAGTGGAATGTCACTTCGCGCCCTAGTTGACTGTGGTGCGTCGAACATTTTTATTCAACGCCAGTCACTAGAGGATAGTAGGCTTAACTATGTTGAGCGAGAGTTCTCTCCAACGGGGATGACAGTGTGCCTTGCTACAGGCGCATCCGTAACAGTGAACAAACGTGCATTGGGAATCCACTACACGCTAGAAGGAAAGCAGTACGGTGATGACTTCATCGTACTAAGTTTGGATGACAAATTTGATGTCATCCTCGGTCTGCCATGGCGTAGAAAACACCAGCCTTGGGTTAGCTGGAAGCATCGATCCGTGAAGATGCATGCCGTTTGTTTATTAAATGGCCATCTGATAAACGTTTTGGAGCGTCCACAAGCGTGTGGATGTACTACGATTGAGTGCGATAGCCTCACTCGTGGTACGGTTGTAAGTACGATTGCACAAGATCACAGTGTAGAAGGCCACTGCACTGTGGCACGAGCTTCCGGCACCTGTGTAGAGACACAGGCTGCACCGAAGGTTCACCACTCGAAGAGATCGAGGGGACTGGATCACGGATGCACACCAAAATAGGTGCAACCGAGAAGAGAGATTAATGTTGATTAGGATGGACAACACGTTAAAGCGAGATAAACTATCAGAGAGTCGATCGTAGAGCAAGCCCGATCGATTAAAAGAGAGTCGATAGTAGAGAAAACCCGATTGAGTTAAGAGAGTCGATCGTAGAGCAAGCCCAATCGACGAAAAGAGAGTCGATCGAAGAGGCCGTAACTGTGGAAGTGCACCCACAGTCAGCACGCGTAATGGAAAAAAGCTCTAGCTTTCCTGAGGATGATAAATCCCGAGAGAATTATCTTGAGGGTGTGGATCCCCAACCACCTGCAGATGCATTTTCCCAGGAATCACACCGAGTCAGTTGATGTCTTGGTGAATGACGGACAAGTGTAGGCGTTTAAACACTTGATCCGGTTACACCTCCGAAGTCAGATTCGGAGGTAATCAAGATGCTAACGCTAGAATCTAAAAGATTCTTGCGAGATCTGCGTAGTGACAAGATCAAGCAGATTAGCGCACTCGTCACAGAGGATGAGTATGTCGCCGATATTTGGTCGGCACAAGTGTATCCTGAGAATGAACAAGTTCGTAGTAGCTCATCGATGGACGAGAGTGTCCTCGATGAGATAACCCGGATTGAGCGATACACGTCTCAATCTTTGGAGACTCTGCAGACAAATCCTTTGTATTAGGATTTGGTTAAATTCAGGGATGTTTTGCCGGAATCCGTGCCATGCGAACTACCCAAGGACTAAAGCACACGGCATGAGATCGAACTGAAACTCAATTCGAAATACTGTGTCATGAAGCAGTGGCTACTGCCTCGTAAACAAGTCACAGCGATCGACAAATTCTTTGCCGATCGATTAGCGGCTGGTCATGTGATGGAATCAAAATCCCCACACAGCTCTCCGACCTTCTGTGTACGAAAGGCCACAGGAGGGTGGCGGATAGTGCACGCGTTCGAAAAATTGAACTCTGCAACTGTACCGGATCAAACGCCGATCCCAAGAAAGGACGTCAATATAGATGGTATGACAAAGAGTACCATATTTTCGTCCATTGATTTGATGGATGGATTCTATCAGATCCTCAGGCATGAACGGGATATCCCTTACACAGCAGTTAGCACCCCCAGTGGTATGCTCTGGGAGTGGCTAGTGATGCCACAGGGGCTAAGTAACGCCCCTGCAGCGTTCAACAGATGTGTTAAGAATCTGTTGCGATCGGCACGAGATTTGCACCGAGTTACTTCGACGATTTCTTCGTCTATAAACAGGCTATGGATGGAAATACGGACGTGGAGATTTATAGAATCCACGTCCGGAATGTTCTTACTTTAATGCGTGATCAAAAGTTGTTCGCGAGCCTCAAGAAGTGTAAATTCGCAGCGAATGAAATACCACTTATTGGCCGCATCGTCGGTAAAAATGGTGTACGCCCTGATCCGGAAAAGATCAAGGCGATTAGCGACTGGCATGTGCCAGCTGACGTCAAGGGACTTCGAAAGTTCCTTGGCTTGGCGTCACAAGTACTCGCGCAAGTACGCCGAGATGACCGTACATCTCCATCGTCTGTTAACGAAAAACGAGAATGAATCATGGAGTGTTGAGTGTCAGTAATCCTTCGAAGGCATCACGAAAGCTTATACTATCGCCTGTTTTGGCGATTGCAGACCAAGACAGACCATTCCACATGGTCGGTGACGCCAGCGATTTTTTTTATCAGCTGCGCGTTGATGCAGTACAACTCAGACGGCTTCAGCGCGTCGTCTGTTATCAATCGCATCATCTGCAAGCAGCTGAACATAACTACCCGGTGCATGACAAGGAACTCCTTGCCATTAAATATGCGCTGGACAAGTTTCGGGTTTATCTCTTAGGAGATAGGCCCTTCATCCTTTATACCGACCATGCGTCATTACGCACGGTCGTAAACAGTCCACACCTCTCGCATGGTGGCGAAGTTGCTGTCTTTCTTCGCAGAGTAAATCCTCTCCATCGAGTATAAACCAGGACGACTTAATGTCGTCGCTAATGCTCTTTCGCGTCGGCCCGATTTCGAGCCGACTGCTCAACACAACAGTAGGGGCGACACTAACAGTGAGTGTTTCGTCGTCGAATCTTCTCGACGACGTGCGAAAAGCATACGCAGAAGATGAGTCTCTTCTGCGGTTGATGGACTACGTATCCAATCCGTGTAATCGAGATTTGAAAAGCTTGTCGTCTTAATACCGCCCTTCAATCGAACGGTATTCTGTTCGTGATTGACTGCTGCACTATACAGAAGTCAACGGCGACACACCTCGTGTCGTCGTTCCGGCTCATCATGATTTGCGATTGCGCATCATGTATGAGTGTCACGATGCCCCAACAAGTGGGCATCGCGGTAGAGAAAAGACTTACCTCATGGTGAGTCGTGACTTCTACTGGTCTCGCCAGTATGAGGTTGTGCGCAAATACATTCGCGCTTGCGAAGTTTGTCAACGGGTGAAGCCTAGTTCTTCATCCCGCGCACCCTAGCAGCCTCTTTTGATTCCGACAGACTATTGGCAGTCCGTATCGATGGACTTCGTCTCCAGGTTTCCTAAAAACGCTCACAAGAATACCAGTATTCTTGTGAAGGTTGATCGGTTCAAAAAGATGGTACATCTCGTTGCTGTACCGTAGTCAAAAACAGCCCAGGGCTGTGCTCGTGTCTTCATCTATACTATCTTCCAACTTCACGGGTTACCCCGCGAGCTCGTGTCTGCTAGAGACCCCCGCTTTACGGCGGAGTTCTGGCAATTTTTGTTTCGTTAACTTGGAACACGTTTAACGATGACAGCTTTTGACCATCCAGAAACAGTTGGTCAGACGGAACGCGTTAAATGCGTCCTCAAAGAGATACTTCGAGGGTACGTCCACTAGTTTACGATTTGGAGTGAGTTCTTGCCGATGGCGGAATTCGCCATCAACAACTCGGTTCATGCGTCGGCAATGCGTACACCGTTTACCCGCCTTTTTAGAGTGTGACTCTAGTTTAAGGGGGGGGGTGGACTCGCTCGAACAATAACCGATCTGTTTCTTGCTCATCTTCCGTCGAAAGGTGTCGACGTGATGTATGCCGATGTCGATTTACTCGAAATCGACATCGATAATGAAGACGGTGCTGGTATATTCAGCATCGCCAGTGACTGCTGCAGTGAGGACGATGACGCCCTCACTGGGAAGACAACGTTCTTTCAGCAGTGCACACGAAGCGCACTGCTGTCAACAAGGACGAGTCAGTAGAAGAATTCCGGCTGACTCGCGAAGCGGTTGTCCGTTTTGTTTAAGACTCTATTGCAGATGCAACAGATGAGCAGAAAAGAAATGCAGACAAAAATCGAAGAACACATGTTCTTTCATTTTATTGATGAAGACCTAGTTTTACTAACAACGGTAAATCTACCAAATATGCAGTGACTAACGTGGGCAGCAGTAAATAACTACTGCCCAAGTTTATCGGTCCATTTTGTGTGTTGCGCCAAATGGGCAACGCATACACGATTAAAATGACTCGTAAGATGCGTAAGCATCCTACGTTTTACGTTGGACGTCTCCGCCCGTACTATCAGTACGAGCCCGTTTCGAGAGGCAAAGAACACCTACGCGGTCGAGAGCCAATACCACCCTCGAGTGGTCCTGTTTTAACGAGCCATTCTGTTCGACAAGCGAATCGACCTGTTCACGTACTTGATAGATGTCCCGACGAGCAGCAGCCATCTCATCACGAAGAGAACGAGTCGAACGTTCGTTCTCAAGTTGCGCAAACGCAAAAGCGGCACGATCGTCCGAAGGATCGTGCGTCAGGGAACTGTAATAATCCCTTACAAGATCCTGAAGCTCATAACGCCGAGTCCGTTCGTGAGGCAGGTCATCGTGTTGCTTATGCGTTGCATGAACCAGTTCCCAAACATCAAGATGATTCGGCCCTAGAGCCGGATCAGGTGTTCCCGCCGCCACCACATTATTGGGTGGACTCAAGCGGTGGTCAGCGGGTTCTAGTGAAGCGTATTTTGAACCACCGCGATGTGAATGGCGTCCGTACGAGTTACCTCGTCCGCTGGCGTGGCTATCCACCGGCGTGGGACAGCTGGGAGCCTCGTGCCCAGCTGATTGTTGATGTCCTTGGTCTCATCGAGCAGCATGACGAGACCCAACCGCTTCGTTCGAAGAAGGGCCGTCGGAAAAAGACCTCCCCGAACGCGAGTACAGGGAATGGCAAGTTTCAATCCCTTCGGCCATCTAGAAAGAGATATGCGCCCTCCAGTAGATATCATTAGGGAGGTAGGCTATCCTAGGGGCACGATTGGCATTGTCCAGGAAACCTGGACACGAATCACCCCACTAGAGACATAGTAATCCTGTCTCTCTTGACAGTCGACGCAACTTGTATCTCGCCCCGACTGCGTTGCGTTTCTCAAACCTGATGCGATATGCATCAAATTTACCGATCCAGGCCTCACGGCCAATGCACTCGATTTTGTGGATGAGGGCATTCTATCATTGCATTAAGGTCTTACAATCTCGAACACAACTGTCATTGTACCACCGATGTTTGAAAAAGGCATCGGTGAAGGATTCATCCTCAGCACGGATAGTTTCCGTGCTGGAATTAGGTGGGCAAATCTTCCTGCAATCGAACAACGGGATTCGATCTCGATCGGTAGTCATGCCGGCCAACCGGTCCAACTCCTTGGATAGCGGCATACAAGGATCTCCACTTGAGAAGCGTGGCGCAGGGCACTTCGTTCCCTGGTCTCTTGATTGGTGCCATCGTGAGCACTGAAACCAGTGACACCTCGATCTCTCGAGTTGCTTCTCTCGTGGTGATGTATAGGGGCATCACCACCATCCCCACGCGTCCTATCACTGGATGGACTCGCGTGAGGCGAGGATTCATTGGAACGATTGCTCAATCTGAAGATCTCTGTCACAATACCGCCACGTTCACCAGCGCCAGTAAACCTGGCTCTTGCAGTGTCCGCCCCGGGTGATCCGGAGGCGTGAGGTGTCGCCTTCGAGTCGTATGCATCATCCGACCTGCCAGAATAGATGAGTTATAATTCATGCTCATCTTTATTACGATTCGCGGTACCCGCTGCAGACGCAGCGGATGAACCTGTCGGGCGTGGCAACTCACCACGTGGACTGTTCACAGCAGCAGGCGACAAATCACCAGCTGCTGAGGTGTGAGAAGTACTCTCTCCGGCTGCACGCATGCGTGCAGCCGCCTTTCTTGCTGATACAGTAGCAACTCGCTTAGATTTTAAAACCAAGCGTTGGATTGGCAATTGAATGAAATTTGACCAAAAAGTGCTCCGAGTGATTCAACGGTGGTCACCCTGTCCCAATCAATTCTATTCAATTAACGGGTGATTGATGGTTAAGGGGCTGTGTAAGAGTGTAGGCCGTTGCAAGATATTGACACCAAACGGTGTTGATAAAGATATTGTCTAGCATGACAGTTTCCCATCCGAGATGGATAATTTTGAAGGAGTAGTATCCACTTTCTAGAATAATATTCATGCACTGCTCAAAGATTGGATGATGAAGACATTTCAACCAATGTTACCACCAATCGCTGCTAGACGCGCGCAATGAGCGGTGAGCAGGTTGTCGTAATACGACGACGTAGCTTTAATATAGTTAGATAAAGATTAAAGTTATATTGATAGCTTAACGATATTAAATACAGTTCTCTTTTTACCTTTACTCAGCTTAGTCGTTGAGTAGACTAGCTTCCTCTGCACGTACTAGTGTGCGTGAAGTTTCGTGGCACCCAAGCTAAGGGTGCCCCTTTACACAAGTGGAAAGCTACTACTTGCAGAATGTTTGCTTGCGATTTTGCAAGCGGTTTCGTTGACAATGGGCAAGTGTGTCAACGCCCCACGTGGCTCTACAGATCGGGTACATTGCTTGCACTGTGTCGAGAATATGACATGGGGCGATCTTCTACCTCATCTGCTGCTAGGTCATTTGTCTCTAGTCCTTGTCTAATATCCTGGCGGCAGCTTATGCATAGATATGTTAGTCAGGTTTATGGTTGTGATTTACATTGCACACCTCCGGCCTCCACATGTCAACTTCGTGAGTCGTACGAGTAACGGGCACTCTGTGCTGGCCGATGTCATGGTCTGCTATTGAGTTTCATTTGCTTTGTGCTTTCCTCCAGGCACAAAGAGCAGATCGAGGTTATTTATCAAGGCTCCTTTCTTGTTCCCGAAGGTTCTCTATCATCCCTTTTTTGACACGAAACCCTGCAGCTCAGCCAAAGACTTGCAACTCTTTAAGCGCTTCTTCCATTGTCTTATACTCTCCTGGTTTTGGCACCTCTATTTGCGATTCGTGTAGGGTCATGTAGGTGCGTTGCATAGAGGATCGCGGTCGTGGCACCTTGAAGGACTGGAAGCTCCACTTCTGCTTCTAGATCGGGGGGGGGGCACTGATATAGAACCTGTCGCGCTCGTGGCGCTTTATGGAACCGGTAGTTCCATGTACGCTTAGAGGTTGTAGGTGATGCGGCAAGGATCGCAAGGGGGCGCGGAAGATCGGAGGTAGGAGGCGCGTCGAACAGTAGGAGACGACACCGCCCGACAGTGGAATGAGGTACATTTAACAAAGGTGAGGCATACCTATAAATTGTAACGATGCATGCCCTTACCAGATGACTGGCAAGACCTTGTGTTTACTGAACACAAGACTGCGCGATCCTGACGTCACGTACACGTGGCGTGATGAAGCGCAGCGAAGCACACAGAACTAAGAGCTCTGTTTAGGGAAAGAAGTAGAACTGTACATAATTTATGTAACGTTTTCTTTAATTATCTTAGTCGTGATCAATCATATTAAAGTACAATCTCCTATTGCGCGCGTCCGGCAGCGGTTGGTGGGTAATCCGATCAATGTAGTGTCTGCATCAATTAAAAGTGGAGCACCCAGAATATTACCTTCGGCGGTAATACTCCGCCTACATCACCTCTTCGCGAGTGATGCTGATTTTATATATTCTAAATAGATAATACTCAAAACTTAATACAGTCGAATCAACTTTCTGTAACGGCTCACCCCGTCACATAAATTGCCTTCAACAACACACCAAAATAGACCTAAGGAAACTCACATTAGATATTAGGGTGCAAATATCGGATTTAACAGGAAGAGGGTAAATTTAAGGAAAAGGGGTGCGAGTGTATCAATTCCCAAGAGTTTAATTGCACCAAGTATAGCTCTACTTTTACCTTTTACTAAGGCATCGACTTAATGCACTTACCTTCCTCTACACGTTCGTGGACGTGAATTTTTGAGGCATCTGCTTACACTGTTTACAGTGTATGTCACCCTAAGTGTCATTAGTTAGGGCATAGGTTTGTTCGCTGCAGATATCAATTACTGTATGATGATTAAAAATTGTGAGATGCTCAACGTAGTGATAGAAACTCGCAAAAGGCGAAGCCCGCGATCGGCTGCTACCAGTTCGTAACTGTAGAGGGTATAAAAAAGTACATGTGTACCTTTTTGACTGTTTAGCTGGGATCAAGTATTGTATCTGCTCCAAGAAAATAGGTGCGCAGCAAGTTATGCATGAGATAAAGACGAATACATACTGACCTTAAACAGGAATAAAGCCTTTGTGACATCGTTTGAAATAGGTGAAGCACACTCACACGCTGGTCCCTTGTAGATGGAATAATTTGACGCTTCAATTTTTGCGTGTTGTATTCACAACTGGAGGTGAAGGTCAGCCCGCCACTTGTATCGAAACATGCGAACATGAGACTGCAAGAAGTTGCGATGATCACTGCATCGTTTGGCCAGATTGACTTCGCGGCTCAAAAATGGGGCACACCTAAACATCGACTTTACACGTAAAATGATGCGTGCTGATACAGGATGCGGCGATGACACACATCGTTGGAACCACGGGTGTAACGGGGTGAATCGTTACATAACAATTTATGAGAAATTGTTAATAGAATATAACTATAAGAGTTACATTCTCAGAATATTTTCATAAGGACAAATATTCTGTTGCACTTACAAGTAGTTCCTAATTGGTTGATGTAGGCCATTATATCAACCAACGAAGACGCGCCACGACAGACGCACGCAATGAGTGGTGAGCAGATAACTGATTTACACATTTGTATTTAGACATAGTTAGATGAAGATAAATAGTGGTTTATTGCAGACATTAACTATTATAAATACAGTTCTACTTTCTACTTTAACCAAGTACTCGCTTCTTCTTACCGTCTTCCTCTGCACGTACCAGTGTACGTGAAGTTACGAGGCACCGCCTTGTTCTGTCATCAGAATAAGTAGCTTGTACTGTCACCAGTACAAGCTTCAGGGTGCCCCGTTACAACGGGGAAATTCGATACTTCGGCTCTCGATCACGAGCCTACAAACATAGGAGCTCGCACATGAACGAGCAATGGAGTCGGAGCTGGGGCATGTGAGCGATTAAGGTGCTGCGATATAAATGCTGCGGTAGCATAACGGGGCTCATTGACTAGGCACGAATCCAGGGAGACGAAGCAAGACAAGGATTTAGACAAATATAAGATAACCATGTAAACCATCCATTGTTTTCATAGACGATACATCATGCTGGGCAGTCTGGTTAAGCCACTCGATCGAGTTGCAAGAGCAAACACGCGACAATGCCTCGCTCAATTCACTTGAACACTTGTGTACTTTTCTTGATCACCAAGTTGCGAACAGCAGTCGTGATTTGATCCAGAATGGGGTAGCGGCGCGAACTCTCTCGTGCAAGCAGCTTTGGTGTCAGGTTGTTCGTACTTCAACACTTTTGCACCTAAAACCAACCTGGACGTGCTCGAGATAAAGCACCCCTGCCACTTTTCCACGCTGTCTAAGGTCGGGGGACTAAGCTCCACAGGGATACCATTTTTCGCACAAACATCTAGCACGAGGGACCTCACTGTGCCCTTCAAAATCCCAGTCTCAGCCGTCAATAGAGTCCCATCCAGGATTGCATAAAAGTTCGTCTGAGATCCCTCAAGCAAATGTCCCGTGGTTGGGTCCATGAGGATCACCTCCTCCATATCCGGTGCCATCTTTTCATATATCGCTTTCCGCTCTCTCACCCAAGCAGAGTCTTTGACCGCAGCATTATGACGGGGCAAACCTGCTACCTCTAGCTTCACCATCTCATCACGTAGCGGTGGCAAGAGTCCTATATGGCACAAGATGTCGGTCTGATCTACAACCTCTCCATCTACTTGGTCGCCTTCAGTAGGACACACGAGTACATTAATTTTGTACTCCTGGTCTTCTTCCACTTTGTAGAGATTCTTGAACGCCTCCATGGCTGCAATCATTGTCGCCTCAGTTCTTGGTCTCAACTCGGTCTCGACGAGACTACGGACCAGCACTTGCTTTTCTTTCTGCATCTCGATCGTCGAGTCCACTGTTACAAACAAGCATGGCACAACTCACAAATTACAATTATACTAAAACTGGGGGGGGGGGGGGGGGGGGGGGGGGGGGGGGGGGGGGGGGGGGGGGGGGGGGGGGGGGGGGGGGGGGGGGGGGGGGGGGGGGGGGGGGGGGGGGGGGGGGGGGGGGGGGGGGGGGGGGGGGGGGGGGGGGGGGGGGGGGGGGGGGGGGGGGGGGGGGGGGGGGGGGGGGGGGGGGGGGGGGGGGGGGGGGGGGGGGGGGGGGGGGGGGGGGGGGGGGGGGGGGGGGGGGGGGGGGGGGGGGGGGGGGGGGGGGGGGGGGGGGGGGGGGGGGGGGGGGGGGGGGGGGGGGGGGGGGGGGGGGGGGGGGGGGGGGGGGGGGGGGGGGGGGGGGGGGGGGGGGGGGGGGGGGGGGGGGGGGGGGGGGGGGGGGGGGGGGGGGGGGGGGGGGGGGGGGGGGGGGGGGGGGGGGGGGGGGGGGGGGGGGGGGGGGGGGGGGGGGGGGGGGGGGGGGGGGGGGGGGGGGGGGGGGGGGGGGGGGGGGGGGGGGGGGGGGGGGGGGGGGGGGGGGGGGGGGGGGGGGGGGGGGGGGGGGGGGGGGGGGGGGGGGGGGGGGGGGGGGGGGGGGGGGGGGGGGGGGGGGGGGGGGGGGGGGGGGGGGGGGGGGGGGGGGGGGGGGGGGGGGGGGGGGGGGGGGGGGGGGGGGGGGGGGGGGGGGGGGGGGGGGGGGGGGGGGGGGGGGGGGGGGGGGGGGGGGGGGGGGGGGGGGGGGGGGGGGGGGGGGGGGGGGGGGGGGGGGGGGGGGGGGGGGGGGGGGGGGGGGGGGGGGGGGGGGGGGGGGGGGGGGGGGGGGGGGGGGGGGGGGGGGGGGGGGGGGGGGGGGGGGGGGGGGGGGGGGGGGGGGGGGGGGGGGGGGGGGGGGGGGGGGGGGGGGGGGGGGGGGGGGGGGGGGGGGGGGGGGGGGGGGGGGGGGGGGGGGGGGGGGGGGGGGGGGGGGGGGGGGGGGGGGGGGGGGGGGGGGGGGGGGGGGGGGGGGGGGGGGGGGGGGGGGGGGGGGGGGGGGGGGGGGGGGGGGGGGGGGGGGGGGGGGGGGGGGGGGGGGGGGGGGGGGGGGGGGGGGGGGGGGGGGGGGGGGGGGGGGGGGGGGGGGGGGGGGGGGGGGGGGGGGGGGGGGGGGGGGGGGGGGGGGGGGGGGGGGGGGGGGGGGGGGGGGGGGGGGGGGGGGGGGGGGGGGGGGGGGGGGGGGGGGGGGGGGGGGGGGGGGGGGGGGGGGGGGGGGGGGGGGGGGGGGGGGGGGGGGGGGGGGGGGGGGGGGGGGGGGGGGGGGGGGGGGGGGGGGGGGGGGGGGGGGGGGGGGGGGGGGGGGGGGGGGGGGGGGGGGGGGGGGGGGGGGGGGGGGGGGGGGGGGGGGGGGGGGGGGGGGGGGGGGGGGGGGGGGGGGGGGGGGGGGGGGGGGGGGGGGGGGGGGGGGGGGGGGGGGGGGGGGGGGGGGGGGGGGGGGGGGGGGGGGGGGGGGGGGGGGGGGGGGGGGGGGGGGGGGGGGGGGGGGGGGGGGGGGGGGGGGGGGGGGGGGGGGGGGGGGGGGGGGGGGGGGGGGGGGGGGGGGGGGGGGGGGGGGGGGGGGGGGGGGGGGGGGGGGGGGGGGGGGGGGGGGGGGGGGGGGGGGGGGGGGGGGGGGGGGGGGGGGGGGGGGGGGGGGGGGGGGGGGGGGGGGGGGGGGGGGGGGGGGGGGGGGGGGGGGGGGGGGGGGGGGGGGGGGGGGGGGGGGGGGGGGGGGGGGGGGGGGGGGGGGGGGGGGGGGGGGGGGGGGGGGGGGGGGGGGGGGGGGGGGGGGGGGGGGGGGGGGGGGGGGGGGGGGGGGGGGGGGGGGGGGGGGGGGGGGGGGGGGGGGGGGGGGGGGGGGGGGGGGGGGGGGGGGGGGGGGGGGGGGGGGGGGGGGGGGGGGGGGGGGGGGGGGGGGGGGGGGGGGGGGGGGGGGGGGGGGGGGGGGGGGGGGGGGGGGGGGGGGGGGGGGGGGGGGGGGGGGGGGGGGGGGGGGGGGGGGGGGGGGGGGGGGGGGGGGGGGGGGGGGGGGGGGGGGGGGGGGGGGGGGGGGGGGGGGGGGGGGGGGGGGGGGGGGGGGGGGGGGGGGGGGGGGGGGGGGGGGGGGGGGGGGGGGGGGGGGGGGGGGGGGGGGGGGGGGGGGGGGGGGGGGGGCAGAGTTATTAAGTTTTGCAGGACAAACCCAAGCGGCGGATATGCGCCTCGTAGTCGAAAATCCTGGTCTGGTGCACGGTGCGGGCAGCCGTATACGCGCCACGAGGGTACGCTAGTAAGAATGCTGTGGCATCCACGTCGCATGGAACGGCTAGGCCGTTCTTGGCTGCAGTTACGAGCAGCTTCTTCTGCGCTGTCATGCGTTGTTGGCGTTGGCTGAACCTCGCTGATTGTCGATGATAGACTAAGTACGAAATTGGGCTGTGGGAAATGTATAAGTTCTGGAAGTTAATGTTTATTGAGAGAGAAAGGTGAAGATTGCGCCTGAACACCACAAGTTCTGCTGTACTATGTTTCATCATTACGCGCGACATAAAGGAGGGGGACTTCAGACGCTTCGTTTGTGTAGCCGTTATCACATCCATGACCCTGGTGTGACGCGATGTAATTTCTTTTTCCAACATAAGGTAGAGAAGCAGGCTCTGGAGCTCGCCCCTTGATATAAGTCATTCAGTCCGGGAACTGAATCAATTCGAAAAGATAGTAGTCACTGAAGAATGAGTGTGATGTTCTCAATGTCTGTATTAACACAGTACAGTATACTTTGGGCAACGCGATCGACCTTTGCTTATGAGCGTCCAGCATTTGCTCATGCGATCATATTCATCTTTCATCGATTCTAAGCCAATGAGATGCGTGCATCACAACACTGACCTAGGCAAAAGGGGTGACACCTTTCATGCGAATCGACCTGTGAGGGGGATAGGCTCGGTCGTATTTAGTACGAGTCAAGAACACCTGACCGCGTTATTTATAGACACACACTCACAAACAAGAACGATTCAAAAGTTTGGCATTACACCTTGCGCACACTCACTAATAGCTTTACCCTTCGGGCTCGCAATAAGCAATCGGTGTGTCTCGACGAGCAAAGACATGTGTGGGGTGGGGTCCTAAAAAGTATTTGTATGACGAACACGTCACGATCGCTTTCACAAGTAATACGTATACGGGATCCATGCTTTTCCAGCATTGACATTCCTTTACTAAGGATCGCCCAAAGGTTGACACGGCATGTCGTCGACTATGATGTGTATTTCATGACTTATTAGCAAGAGCACGAGGACAAAAGTCACCGTTATTCCGCCAGTATCTCCAGCGAGATGTAAGGGTTCGCAATTACAAGACGTCTTTTGCAGTTGAAAGGTGCGTAAATAACATCGGAGCTTACCATCTATTTTCCTTGGCTTTAACTAGGACACGTTTTTGGAGGTGGTGGATCACCTGCAAGTAAAGTGGGCTTTTCCTCTCGAAAACAATGAGGTTGCCGGCACACCTTCCTTTTCAACAACGCGCCTTGTCGGCTTGTTCTCATTTTCTCTTTCGATCATGAAGAATTCTGTAGGGGCAACACGGTTCTCTACCGCAAGAAACAATAGCTGAGTATACCACCGCAGCATTGTACTCTTCTCCTCTCATTACAACATATCAGCCCACATTCTTTACCTAGCAAATAATGCCTTCTTATGCAGTATTTTGTACTTCACACGTGTGGGACTACACAATTGCCTTGATGACAGCGGCCAGCTCACAATCCACTTTTAGTCTCTTTGACTTGAGCAAATTGTTCGTGACACAGGCTTTCATATCGTGCAGCTCTTTCGGACACAATGACTATTGTGATGTCACTCCTGAGCTGGAAGATATTCTCAGACAGCTGTGAGAGCGAGACCAAAACTCTTCCCTGTGTCAAACACCGCTGTATCACATCTCACAAGATTTTTGTATTGTATTAAGTTGTGCAATAAACCCTCGACTCAAACAAGTAGCGTTTTCCTCCTAATTTAGTGCGCGCCACGCCAACGTGCGGCATACGTGGCTCACCCCCTCATCGTGTATTGGTTGAAAAAGCATCTCTCGCGATCCAACAACGCGCCGCGTGGCCCTTCGACTCAGTCCCTTATTTTCCTCTCCGCAATCCCCAAGACTGCACCGTGTCGGACGTCAACACGCTCGTGTTCCAGCCGCTGAAAGAGTTCTTCAAGAACAGTCTCCACCTGATCAAGAAGTGCAACAAACCCGACCGAAAAGGTGCGTCTTTGTAGACCCTTTAGAGTCGTTCCTGAGGATCGTCTACTGACTTGTGACCCTTTTTTGCCACAGAGTTTGCCCGCATCGCTGGCGCCACGTCCGTGGGCTTCTTATTGATGGGCTTCATCGGGTTCTTTGTCAAGCTTGTGCACATCCCCATTAACAACATTCTCGTGGGTGGCGGCGCCTAATTGCGGCTGCTGCTCAGTTGCCGTCGAGAAAGTCGCTCCTGCAGCTCAAGACGAGAACGAGCTGGAACGTTGGAGGGCACATGTCGTCGATTTGACGCCGATAACTCAATAGACAGTAGCTTTTGGTATGTATGACCGCAATTTGTTGTGTCTAGCTGATTGCAATGGATTCTACCGGTGGAGAGACGCTGTGGAGTTGCAGATGGAAATGATGCTCGAGCACGAAGTGAGAGCACGGTATTCTCGTACCGCTACATGACACAGCGACGTTTACACGTGCAGATCGATATAAAGGCCTGCAGCTGCGACCGGCCGAGGTAATGATGTCCGGGAAACTGGTGCAGTTTCGCAACGCGTCTTGCGCGCTGGAAAGGACTAATTTCCGAAGTTTGAAGCATGACGGTTCATTAGTCGCATGAACCGGCACTGACTGTCACGTGGCGGTAATAGACAAACTCGCCTTGGCCATCGAAAAAGACACCAGTTTCGACAACGCAAACATCTTAACTTACAACGCATCGGAGACGGTGCTGCACGTCGCCCTGCTTGCAGAGACAGATGCTGCTAAGGGCGCAGATGACGAAGCTTCCGACAATCCAGACATGTCGCAGCAACATCTAAACCGGAAAGCACTGCGTAGGTTCTCAACCTTCGTGACACTGTCAGCTCATGCGTAGACCATGACATACAACTTGCGGTAGACCGCGTCAGTATACTCGTCCTGTGGCAGTCAGGCGCACGATTCCCGAAAGGTCGTGCTGAAGACATTGTCCATCTGCTTGGTTCACGTGAAGGGCGGCCGGCCTCGGATTACGGGAGTTCAGGCGCAAGACGCTTCACAGAAAACAGTATGAAAGTCTCTTGCTCCAATATACACGAAATCAACATCGCAGCACAATCACAGCGCTTGCGCTAGCTGCTACATGTAGAGCGTTCAATAGGTGCTGCTCAAGAACAGCAGAAGACGCAGAGCTGACGTCCTCTGTTCAATTATCATGGCTTTTGATAAGCTAACGTGTGTCGACGAAGGTATCGTGTCTCTAATGCGACGTGGTCGGCTGTCAGCTACTATATTGGATGTGACACAAATAGAAGTCCTTGTCCGTGCTAAAATATTGGCAAGTTTAAAATAAGGACAAACTGAAGCAAAGGAGACAGCCGAAAAGACCGACGGATACCGTCAGTTTCCTTGTCGCAATGTTTGTAGTGTTTATTTCAGTACCTTTTCCGCATCACACGTAATTGATCATCGCAATAATTGCAATTTCACATCAGCTTGTAGTCATTTTGTAAGCACCGTCCATGCCGTCGACGCGAAAGCTGCTACTGGTGTCATGGACAGCGTCCGTATCGCTGCTGTACCCAGCTTCATCCTATTCTCTCTTCAAGCACGAAACGAGTCCTCTGTTCACCAAGACGTTCCAAGTCCATTCGCTCGACGCGCAGAACTACGACACGACGATGAACGATTCGGACATCGTCTGGCTTGTAGACTATTACGCTCCGTGGTGTCCCCACTGCCGCCGATTCGCTCCCGAGTGGGAGAAAGTTGCCGTGTTTTACTCGGAGACAAGCAAAGTACAAGTAGGTGCTGTTGATTGTACCAAGAATAGCGAAATCTGCAATCAAGAGGACATCCGTGGATACCCTGGGGTGAAGCTTCACCACGTGCCAGCACATGCAGAGAGGGCCCAGATAATGCCAAGAAGTGCTGGAACTAGTAAAAAGGTGATTATTTGGGCAGAAAAGCTTATGGAAGAGTATGGCATCGAGTCTGGGATGAATGTGGAGAATCTGGATGCTCGGTTATCGAATTTCCGAAAGAATGGCGTTGTAGTAGCTAATGGAGACAAGGAAATGATTCTTTACAGCGACCAGTCATTGGAGATGAAGTACAACCGCCTGCACGATGCAGGTATTGCAGTGGTGTCTACGTTTGAGAATGGGTTTTTCATGGGGGCCGATGTTTTGGAAGGAGAGCGATACGAGATTGCATTAGTGTGGGTAACGGCACTCGCGGCATCGTTTCCTGGGAAGATGAATCGGCAGGCGCTTGTGATTCTCGTGCAGTCGATGATGACACGTAAACACTGGGAGCATGCCGAGTGGACGGTGATGCTGCAGAGGTGGCAGAAACTTGCGAGTGACAAAACTTTCCCGGTGAATTTATTTGCGTCAAGTGATTACAAGTCCTGGGCATTGTGCAAGACGTACACGTGCGGACTTTGGACACTGTTTCACACCATAACAGCAAGTAAAATGGATGTCACTGAGATTTCTACCGAGGAGCCTTGGAAGCCAAGTAAAATAATGGCGGCCATTCGACTATACATCGAAAACTTTTTTGGCTGCGAGGAGTGTCGAGAGCATTTCATGCGCCTGAATCCGGCAAGCATTATCGACAAGCTTGCCGCTATTGATATCGAAGAGCCCCGTGCAGTGGTGCTATGGATATGGAGGATACACAATACGGTAAATGAGAATCTGAAGAAAGATCAGTGGCCATCAAGGAAGGTGTGTCCAGTCTGCTACGTGGAAAACGGTGAATCTATATCGCTTGATCCCACTCAACTTCACGCTCGTGAAATTGTTGCGTACGTCGCAAGCGCATATGGGCAGGATGATGAAGAAATACTTGCCATGGAAGCTATACGGAACGGCAATATGTTTTTCCTGCGGCCATCGATGGATATTTTCAGCTCATTGATGATCGTGCTGGTGCTATTTGCACTGCTGGGTGTTGCCTATGCGACAAAGAATCATCGCATGTACCCTCGCAAGACAATTGTGACGCGGCGCCATTTAGCGTAGACGCATAGTCGGTGAACACGAGCGCTTCTATCATTCGTGATGTCGATACGATTGTTTTTAGTTGAATGTGTGAACTTTATATACAAAACGGTATCACGAACGGTTTTGATTGTGAGTGCGTCGACACCCCTTCAGCTTTGGTAAATTTCCTTTGTTCGATATTTGATTGTCGAATGTAATGCATGCATAGTGTACAACGTACGCCTCGGTTGGGGCGATACCGTGTCACTGTCCGCTGCTTTGGACGTAATTTTGTCATCGATGAGTTCAGTTCGTGTTCGCTCGTTTGTAAACATTCCAACTATTTTCATGCTTCACAGTTCGATAATGACACGAATATTACACTTAACAAACTGAGTCCTTCTATTTCACTTTGAATGGGTCATCCACGGCCACGCCTCCCAATATACGAATTGTAAGGACTGAATCTGAAAATAGCCTAGGTTACGACCAGAGCTCTGTCCCGCAACGTCCCATCCCGCGGGATCCCGCATATCCCGCATTGTGTGATTATCGCATTATAAGATAGGAGAGCAAGCTCTGGAGCTCGCCCTGTGATAAAACTAATCCAGTACGGAGAACTAAATCAAGTTACAAAACACTATACAACAGCAGTAGTCACTGAAGAAGAAGTATGATGCTTTTGATGTCTGTAGTAATCCATAAAGTAGGCTAGCGCAACGCGTTCAGCCTTTACTTACGAGCAGCCAGCATTTGCTTATAACGAAACGGAATGGGTTATTGCCAGAGACCGAGACTGTAGCGAAGCCTCACAGCTTCTTGAGTCACAAGAAGATTTAGTGCTCAAAAAGACATATTAGTTCTAAAGAACTGGACTCTATGAGTCAGCAAGCATAAAGCTTAAGGTCTTACTGTTCCAGGGGACTGAACGATACAGTGAATCGACAGCACTTAGTACTCAAGAGCAGCTTCCCCAGGAAGGTGCTGCTATCTATCAGCGACCAGCGATCAGAGACACCTCGCAAGGCACGTGTCTTAGACAAGATCAGAAGAGAACTGGGCTTTATTTACGTTTCACTCGACCGAATCTCTTAATCCTAATGTTACCTTATCCAGGCACTCATGTCCCAAATTATTATCTTTAAGATCTTTCCTATCTTGTGGCTGACACCCGTCATCCCCTATAGACCGATAAGATATTCAATATCTCTTTCGTTGGTGTACCATCCCGTGTATTTAAGACACAGGGTACCGAGCACCCTACGATGTGTAACCCCTTTACACCCTCCCCCGCCAGACTGACGCTTACCCAACCGTCAATAGAGCTTTTCTCCTCAACGAGTTCAGTGCGCTTGCGATTAATCTCACGGTAAGCAAATCTATAGCAACATGCACTCATCGTCTAACGAGTCAACAAATCTTTGTGCATACCTCAAGATGGACGAGGCAGTAGAATGTGGTAGCGATACCAGTGTCCCAGGCGATGCAAGGATAATTTCCGATGCATTCATGCCTGAGGTGCAACCTCTACTACGTTAAGTCCGTCCTATGAGCATGATGATGCGCATGCGCCATTGACGGCACACCCGGTTCGGATGATTCAATCATCACCAACCCGCTCGATGAGCAGCAAGAGTTGGCTTTTCAACGAGAAGAAAGCGCTGGGCGCCATGCACGAATGGTCACGACCCGTTAGAACTAGCGTGACTTGGTGTTCAATCCGCTCAGTGTGGAGGAACGTATACGTCAAACGACTGGCCAAACGTTGGCAACGTCGACCATTGGTCCTGGAGCTACTTTTCCCGAGGAAGTGGCAAGTAGCCAGGCACTCCGTGAGAGTTACGTGGAGACATCCTCTGACAGCGCACAGTCAGTACAAGGCACACCTTGAGATGCAAGCCGTGGTGCACCGTTTCTACCGATCAAGGGTATACCCATTATCCTGTTAGCAGGCAAAACAACGGACGAAGGAGTAGACGCCTTCGTTCGCTGGGTGCACCACTTTCGTCGCCTCAGCAGTATGTACACTCTACGAGCTAGTAGTGTCAATGTGGCCGATGTCCGTCTCTAACGCAAGTTTCGGTATGAATATGCCCAGCTTAAGTTCAGAGGCCATTGCGCAATCGCATGCTCTGTACTTCGGCTACCACGGTGGCCTCGAATGCTGGTCACATTGTGACCGCAAAACATCCAACCCACACCACTGGTGGTGGAAAACGGCCTCGATTTCGAGATGAAGCTGGCCACGATGTTCAAAAACACTTAAGGCGTATGGGCAATCTTGCCTCAGGGGATATCTCGTACTTCCGTGAGTTTGACGACTCAGGGTACCCTTATGAGTAGCTCAGCAAACCACCGAATGTTTTAGTTAAGTCGCTGTGAGAATTTGAGCACAGTCTCATCTCTTCGTTTGAACATCGTCCATTGCTCGTTGTCCAGGTCTTCACTCTGAAGTCGTGCGGGACAGACAATAATCATACTTTCGTGAAAAACAGGTCAAAAGTCATGCCCTGGTGAACTGTGTCTTGCGCGATATCTTCAACCTCCGTCGCGAGGTCGCCGTCAACAGGGACAGCCATGTCGTGTGCCTTCTGATCATCTGTCCACTGCTTCTTCCAGGAAAGGCTGCAGAATCGATTGCTCCGGAGAAGTCAATCACGAGGGGATCCTCCTGTGAACTTCTTGATCTTGATCATCGCTATCTTTGCGGGGGGGGGAGTCGGCACTTGATGAAGTAATCACCATGGTGTAGGTGACGTATCTGTCACAATATTGGCGTCTCGTCCTGTAGACACCTTGTCCTTTATCTAATCTTGCTCAGATCTGATATGTCAAAATACATATTCGTGGCCTGCAGAGGGGTGATTGGTCCGCTAGCCTTGCTTGAGAGGGTCTTGCGGAGTAAAAGGTAGATTGTAAATGTATGACAGAACACATTAACTACAACTATCATGTAACAAGAGAACAGTCAACCCGTTCAATATTGTCCACGTTGATTTCATCGGACCATACGACGGAGGATGTTACAAAATAACGATGATAAATCAGGCGACTAAGTGTTTGAAGTTGCTGTACAGCCAAATACAGAATCGCTGACGACAGCTGAAAGTTTGACCACAAGTGGCTTTGCCGATACCCACTTCCACGACAAGCTGTCCACGACCACAGGTTAAGTTTTCAGGGTTAAGGTCCAGCAGCGATCACATGGTCATCTGAAGAGATGTTATGAACACCCTAAGTATATTTTTGAACTTTAAAGACCGGGTGGTACAATGTAAAGACCGTTGGCTTCGGCTTAACACAGGGCAAGATACGGCGAGAAGACGCTTCACGGACCAAGATGATTTACAGTATCACGAGGAAGTAAAAGGAAGCAACTACGACGGCAGTCCATACAGAGGCGTTCCTGACTGACCATCATGCCACCAACATGAAGACTAAATGCCTAGTATTACTGGTCTAGTACAAAAATCTTTACGATGGACAGCTCGGACGAATGCGCTTTCCCGACTATGAGCTGCCGGTTCAACCGAATTACAAGATGATTTATGCGAAGGCCTACCCCATTGCTCGCATCCATGAAAACAAAGACGAGGAGAACATTGAGCGGATTATCAGTGATGGCGTAGCAATTTACGACGCGAAAATGGCCTCACCCGCGTTTTTCGTCACCATCGGATGGATCACCGCGTCTACTAAACGACTATCGTGCAGTTAACAATTGTTAACGAATGAGTTCACACTACGTGCCACGCATTCGAGATATCCTTATGCGCTTGTCAACGCAAGTGCCTTTCAACATTTGATGCATCCCAGGAATACCGGCGACTAGCTCGAAAAAGCCCCCCACTTACTGCTTTTTGTTTGCTCTTTGAAAAATGCCAATGCGAGTGACTACCGATGGTATATCGACAGCCCCTGACGACTACCAAGCGTGCATGGATCGTATCTTTGGCGACCTGCCGTTCATCGTGGTACACGTGGACGACCTTGTAGTAATTTAGTCCAATACAAATGAAGATCATCTCGCGCATTTGCACGTTCTCTCCGAACGCCTGCAGATCTACGGCGTGTCGTTAAACGGGAGAAAGTGTCATATTTGGTGCAAGGAGGTGGATTACCTTGGGTTTACGCTATTGTCCGCTAAATGAAGCCACAAGAAGAGAAAACCCAGGCCATTCAATAGATCGCAGTACCATACAACCGGAAAGAGCTTCGACGTGTTCTAGGCGTGACCAACTACTGCTGAGACATAATTACAAACAAGACAACCTCGTGCAAGCCGCTTTGTCAAGAAGTTCCAAGATACCCTTTACATGGCTACCCAGAGATACAAAGCCTTTTAAACGTTAACTGTGTAGTTGTGGAGGCCTTCCTGTTAGCCTTCCCTAACCTTAAGGAGCCTTTCTATGTCTACGCGGTTTCTAGCGGAACCCGGATAGGTGTTAACTTATAATGCAAGGTACGAATATCATGGCATGTTACTCACTCAGTCTTACCAATCACGAGACTAACTACACAATCAAAATTCAGGAGCCACTTACGATCGTTGAGCTTTTACGCGAATACCCGAACGATGCTCCCGTATTTCCAGTTGAGGCCCATACTAACTACAAAAATTTGATCTTCGCCAATGAAGCAAGTCTTCAAGTGTAGCGCTTAAAATTACTCCTCTCTGAGTATAGCCCGAAGATGACCTATGTTAAAAGGAACAAGATTGGATCAAATGCCTTCTCACGCATGTCATTTGCGAAACTTGAAGGTCCATCGGTTTTTGACGAAGTCTACGCGCTAAATACGACGCCTTATTACATAATACATGGTCCCGTTATCTTACAGCACCAAGAAAACGATGAAATAATCGCGTCGATCAAAGCAGCATGTCTTGCAGGCACCAACGGCCCATACTATCATCTCAAGGTCCTCTTGGGATTTACCATGGCTGTGTAATGTGTACAAGTAATCGTTCCTGACAGTTTTCGTGAGTTACTGATCGACTGGTACCACATCAAACTCGTCCATCCAGCAATTCATCTACAACACAACACGATGCAAAATACCTTTAATTGGCCGCACATGGAAAAACATTTCCAAATATGTTCGCCAATGCATCAAGTCCAAGCGCGCTAAGTTGCACGAATGCAAAAAAGATTACGGACTACTACCATAATGTGCCAAAAGAACATTCAACCCGTTCATTATTGTCCATGTTGATCTCATCGGATCATACGACGGCGGATAATACGAGATAACGATGATTGATCAAGCGACTAAGTGGCTTAAAGTTGCTGTACAACCAAATACAGAATTGTGACGACAGCAGAAAGTTTGACCGCAAGTGGCTTTGCCGGTGCCCACGTCCACGACAAGTTGTCCACGACCACGGGTTGGAGTTTACAGGAGAAGAATTCCAAGAATTACTCCATAGATACAGCTTTAAATCAAAGTCTATCACAGCCAAATCCTCACGATAATTCTATCTGTGAGCACGTACATTTAGGTTCATGAAATTCATACGATGTCACTCAGGCGCGGATTGGAAGAAGTTAATCATTACGCCACTTTTCCGTACGTACAAGCAGCCGTAGCATACTCAATGCATCTCTGGGAAAACGCATTTTTGACAGAGAAATATTTTTGCAAGAACCGCACGAAACGAATTGAAATTACCTGTCAAAAAGGCGGTTTAATGCCATCGTAGCTGATAACACACGCGAGTATAGAATACCAAACGGATCGTGTACTTCTACCATCCCGGCGGCCACGTAATTTTCCAAAAACCGAAGCAGTTTTGTGCAATAGACGAAGGAAGTGTCAGATGGGCCCTAACCCATCAGCACTGTGCATGAAAATGGAACCTTCACTATTGACTAAGGAGCAACGACACATAGGCTATCCATTCGTCTCATCTTCTCATGTTAGCATTCATTTCCTCATGGGGGGATTATGACATAACAGCCATATAACCTGATTGATTGATGATAAATCCTAACCAACGACTCATCAACGCTTAGCTAAAAATAATCTGCTACAATGTATTGATAAATCCATGCCACAAGATGAAGCATTTGTTTAGGCACGGTGGAGTAACGTGTTCTGCAATACATTTTTCAATCTGCCTTTTACTCCGCAAGACCCTCCCAAACAAGGCTAGCGGAACGATCACCCTTCTGCAAGCCATGGGTCTTTCATTTGTCATTTTACCGGATATTGGCATTGGCCATTACGACGAAGTCGTTTCAGTAGTCTCTCGACATGTAGCTATAAAATTCCATGCTCATCCGTCAGCGTCGGACGTGGCCGTTGTAGCGGTGGCGGACCACCATAAATTGGCTCTCGAAGTAAAGAGTCTCCAGTAGACCTTGGGTATGACCCAGTGTATGCTGGATGTGATGCAAAGCCGCCTTCAGGCGTTGGGTTTGGGTCACCCCCGGATGGAGGCCCGGCTTGACCTCCTGATTCGGAATCAGCAACCGGTGGCAAGGCCAACTTTCGCGGCGCAAGCGCCCACAAGTTCACGTGGGACGGATCCCGATACGGATTAAGTAAGTCTACGTAGAACACTGGGTGCGTGCGCAATTTGCGCGGAATTTTTAGCGTTTACGCAATCCCCTTCTTGGCAGTGACCGTAAATGGTCCAGTGAACCGTGTACGCAACTTTTTCATTGAGACAGCACACACCACATTTGTAGGTATGTTTTTAGCTTTGAGTAATTCTTGTTCTCCAACCTTATTAAAAATTCAATACGACGTCTTTTTACCATCTGCTTGCTGTTTTTGTTGGTCTAGACTTCCAGCCATTGCGTCGCGTACATGTATTTAGACATTTAATCGCGTTGCGAGAAACTCGCCTACCTGTTTTGAACAGTATCAGGGCTGATGCCAGGAAGAAGATCGGCAACCTCTCCCCCACCAAGACATGAACTACGTAGTGGTAGCATTTACGAAACGCAAGGGTGGGTGAGAACGTTTTCGTAGAACGGAGTATAGCCTGTGGAGGTACAAACAGCGTTGTTCAACGCAAATTCAACGACAGGGAGCATGGAGCTAAAACGCTTAGGCTTATCAGCGCAAACACTGCACAAGATGTCAACAATGACGCGGTTAACACGCTCACCTTGACCATCGTTCAGAGAATCATTAGCTGTGGACATGTCTAATCGGGTACCGAGCACCTTGAAGACGGACTTTTATGACTTACCAGTGATGCAGGGATCTTTATCGAGCAATTGCCTTTGGCAAACCATGTTTTCGAAACACAAGGACTATGATAAGCTTTTGCTGTACCATCGGCATCAAGTGAGTCCGGAACTGTTGCTTGATGAGCCATCTTGATTAATCGGTCAAAAAAGACCGCAATGCCAGCGTTGCCTTCCGAATCTTTTGGCAGGCCACACAAAGTTCATACTCATCGACTCCCAACACCCAGTGGGAACAGGCAGACTAGCCAGCGACGCCGCCGCATGTGCTGAGGTTTTAACTCGTTCATACGTTTCACACGTAAGCACATAGTTTTTCACTCACTTGTATAGTTTGGGCCACCAATAAGCCTGGTTCACTGAGCTGTATGTCTTATTACGATCGAGATGACCATTTATAGCAATATTATGTGCCTCGTACAGAATTCGATACTTCAACTCTTTTTCATGGGGACATCGATACGAGGGTTATCTTCAACATCTGTGCGATAGCTCAACAGACCATTACTGATGGAATATCGATGTAGCCTTGCACGTAAACGTGCCGAAAATTCTAGGTACGAGTCTTAGACTCCTCTCTCTAAAGGGCCCAAAAAAAACCTACACATTGTTCATCCTTGGCAAAAAAGCATGGAATAAGATAGTGACTGAATATGACAGCTTAGTGACTTGAGCAAGTTCATTGTCATGTTGGCGCAATAGCGCATCAGACAAAGCATTTTGCTTTCCTGGATTATGCTTCATTTCGCAGTTATATTCGGCAAAGAATGAAAGATAACGAGCCATCCTCTGAGAGAGATGTGGCACTGTTTCGTAGTGCGCAACAACGCATAATCTGTATCGATCACAAACGGCTTTGATCCAAGAAGAAGTACTTTGAATGTGACTGAGCGTACTTCGTAGTAAGTAGCTCTTAGTCATGAACAAAATAGTTCTTTTTTGCAGCTTTGATCCGTCGAGATTTGAATGTAATGACGCGTTCGCGTCCACCAACATCTATTGTAACATAATACCGCCTATGATCAAGTCAGATGCGTCACAGACGACACTAAAAGGCCGTTCAGGATCAGAGACAGTATGGGCGCATGAAGCAGACTTTTTTAAACCGATTAAATGGATCATGTTTGGTGTTACCCCAACACCAAACCACATCCTTCTTAAGGATAGAGATGTGGCAGATCCATATCTGCGTAAAACACGGTATACTTATGCAAGTAATTGAACATTTTTGGTTCTTTGGCACCGGCCTATCAAATATATCCCTTAACTGAGCGGGGTTCGCTCGAAGGACCCGATAAACAATGAAGCACTCCAGAAATGAAATCTCTTCTTCACCAACGTTGCACTCAGATGCATTTGCGTACAGTTTATTCGTGTGAATGCACTCAAGCACCGCTCGTAAATGATAAGTTCGATTATCCACATCAGATCTACCGTTTGTCACACGACTATGGACAATGATGTCATCAAAGTAAGTTTTTGCATAGTTTTGATGAGGTCTGAATAGTTGCGTCACCGGACCATCAAAAATAGCCGGGGAATTTGACAGCCCTTGTGGCATAACAATCTAATCCCAGAGCATACCACTCGGGTTAATAATCGCTAGTAGCGTAGTGTTACTTGCTGGTATAAACTGCGTGTAAAAAATGTCACCTAAGTCGAGCGCACTGTGCAATGTACATTACACCATCTTGTTCTAAAGAACATCTTTTCTGGGTATTGGTGTCCGAGCCGGGATATTCGCAGCACTAAGCTTGCTATGAGCATGAACAATGCGTCACTTACCATTTGGCTTCCTGATAAAAAATGTCAGTGTAGAATGGAGAGATTTACTCTCACGCACCATTCCAGCCGCGTGCTTTGCACGAAAGAAACCGTCAATGAAGTCACACTGCTATTTCGGTAAAGTTTGCTGCCATGACACGCAGTATTCAGTCCCTAAATCTAAAACAATTTTGTGACGTACACCTCTATCAAAGAGTAATACAATTAGTGTGTTGTGACACACCACACCTTGAAATTCCTTCTCCAAAAAAAGGTCGGGTCCAAAGGATCTATAAGGATAGAAGATCCAATTCGCGCACTAACTGCTGCTTTTGTATCTTCTAGGACAGACTCATCCATTAATGAGGATGAGTTCAACTCGACAGCGATTTTAATGAACACAAATTCGAATAAATCTCCTGTCTTCCAGTCCTAGATAAACTCGCCATCAGACATTTCGTCTAGCTCACAAAGAGCATCCAAAGATGGAGGATTTCCAGGCTAACTTTGACCTCAACCTGTACGGTCACTTCGCTGACAAGTGAATATAGTGTATCACTGTTGTCACCATAGGACTGCTCGGACGCCTGGCGCTTAACAGTTGCCACCTGACGTCCCAGTCGTCTCTTCGATGAGACCTTACACCCCTCTGGGTCGAGACAATGATGTCCTCGTGGTTACTACTAGTAGCAGCACGCTCTATATGAGAGCTAATGTCTTGATTTACATCTGGTGAAGTATTCTAGCCACTTTTAAATTCATTCAACAAATTTAAACGTGCCACTCCACTTACATTATACAAATCTAGCCATGAACTTGATGGTGTTTTACTAACAACGTCATTGCCGACATTAAGGTGTGGTGCCTTCAAGGCCGACCACACGCAGTGAATTTCACGTGCCACCACACAGATGTCAAAGGAATCACATCCTTGATAACTCGAACATAGGCCGACCATGCTTTCAGCATGCTGTGACTCGTTATCACACCGAAATTCAAAGAAGTACGTGCCGTATCACTTTTATTTAACGAGCTACGCTCGGAATTTATGTTTATAAAATTGGAGCAGTTAAGTTAAACATTCCAATGTCCAGCACTTTGACAAAGACTCGCGCAAATACTGCTTTTGTTACCTAGCAAAAGTGGGTTCATGACTTTCCAAAACTTCGCTTAAGAGATAGCGCTTAAGGTCTTGGACCTCCAATCAGTCTATGGCTCATGGTGTTCAAACCAAGCCAAACCTAGGATGAGATCACATCTCAAGTCCAATCAAGAACAAGACAGCGTTTAACGCTATTAACGTCCAAACTTCATACCTAAGCTCAACGGAACTTTAGGTACAGTGACACGACTTCAAGTTGCCAAGCCAACCGTGAATAATCACCTTCATGCGCTGTAAGCGCTTTAGCATAACGCTAACATACCTCAAGGAATGACGTCTAGCATAATTGCAAGACGTCCCAAAATCGATTAAAATCGTCCAAGGCATATCAAAGCCTTTAACTCTCGCCTCAGTGACCAACCAGCCAGACTTGTATCCACCCTCCATACCAGTATTAATGGCTCTCTTTTGGGCTAAGTCCTGTTCAGCTTTACTTTCCAAAGGTGTTACAAAACTAGTTCTTCCCCAGTATGGTGCTCCACGCCTATTGGGTGTCGAAGTTCCCCGTGCCACATTAGACTTCTGGCTCGGGGTAGAGCGTTGACTCGTAGCTTGACGCTGTCTACAAAAATGGCAACTAGTCCGCAAGTGTTAATTGCTTCCGTGCGTATGACATCATTATACAAAACGTTTCTGCTCAGCAAGTTGAAGTTCAACTTCGCCTTCGTCTTCAGCATAGCTGAGATTCATCGGTTTCGGCCTATAGCGGCCGGATTAATCGTAAATTTCAGAGCTAGGATTGTACCCATTACGGCCAAGTCTGGTCGAATTGAAGTTATGCTCAAATTAAAAGCAATTGGCACAGCCTCTTCGAAATTAGAAGGGGAGACACGAAAGACTTCAGTTCTGGCAGTACCAGAAAGGAGACCCTACATCACGATATTCACATGGACTGCCTCAGGCAGAGGGTCAGACTGCATTACAGCCATAAGGGTCCTAAGCTCTTGGACAATAGTCCGATAACTCATTATGACCCTGACGGATAGATAAAAAGCGTGAAAGCATGCGGTAAGCTTGGTTAGGGGGTTGAACACCTCTAATAATGTGACTTAGGCGACATCCATGTAGAAAACGCTAGGTCGACCGACGTGCTACACTATAAAGCCCATTATCTGGCTCTGTCATCGAGCTTTGTAATAGCCCGCAAGGCCTGTTGATATTCAAGCTTGATCATGCCTGATATCATGGCCATCTCAATCTCACGGATCCAGAGAATGGGGTTTTATCCCTTTTTCCTGAGTAGTTTCAACCTAAACTCTAAGTGGAAGAGATCTAGCCTCTTCTTCTGACACAGATACAAAGCGTTGAGGCATAGTCGACGCCAATTAGTCTTGGAACTGCCCTAGAAGGAACTATACATACTACAAGAAGCCCTCAACACATGCAGTCAGCACGTCTGGGCCTTGCGATGCAAGAAATTTTACGTACTCTGGACCCGAAGATGCGGTCAGATTATCAAGCGCGGCCTATCAGGCCTCATAGAGGAAAACCCATTTTTCCATCCTTACAGAGGACCAGCATTTGACAAATTTGGCGAAGATTGAATACGAGTTCGACCAATTATATCGAAGGTTTACAGCCTTTTGAGTCAGAGGAAGGTTATTGTTAAAAAAGACAAATTAGTTCTAAAGAACTAGAATCTATGAGTCAGCAAGCGTAAAGCTTAAGGTCTTACTGTTCCAGGGGACTGAACGATACAGTGAATCGACAGCACTTAGTACTCAAGAGCAGCTTCCCCAGGAAGGTGCTGCTATCTATCAGCGACCAGCGATCAGAGACACCTCGCAAGGCACGTGTCTTAGACAAGATCAGAAGAGAACTGGGCTTTATTTACGTTTCACTCGACCTAATCTCTTAATCCTAATGCTACCTTATCCAGGCACTCATGTCCCAAATTATTATCTTTAAGATCTTTCCTATCTTGTGGCTGACACCCGTCATCCCCTATAGACCGATAAGATATTCAATATCTCTTTCGTTGGTGTACCATCCCGTGTATTTAAGACACAGGGTACCGAGTACCCTACGATGTGCAAACCCTTTACAGAGAGCCTAAGAAATTTAAAAAAAATATTGACGTTAGCGCAAAATTCAACACTTTTTAACAAAAAAACAATGGATCAAAAGTAGTTCTATTGGTGTTGAAGAAGCTAAGCTTGCGAGTATAAACGACAGTGCACTAAGCACGTATACTTACGAAAATTCTACAATTTATAGCATTAACCATTTATCGTTGATCAACAATATGAATTACAATATGAATTTGGTATGGTTGCTATGCATCAATGATGTTCAAGCCCTTGCTCGTGAAGATTCGATGGGTCACATGCACGATTCTTGCAACGCTCACGAGAATTTGAAGACGACTCAGACAGACCAGAACCTCGATTTGCAAGACCTCTCTGACTTTTATCCAGGAGGGAAACTCGACGTTCTTGGCACACCCTCAATCTAGAAACAGCTTGAGACGGCGCTGCTGTTGTGACAGTGACACTGAACAAATTTTGCACTCTCTGAGGCCAGCTCTCACATTGTAAATATTGTACATGATAGCCTTGCTCTACTTGGTGCTCACCGAGCGAATGGCTGTTTAACGCGTGATGGAGCTTCCCCCTTAATATTTTACTCGCGCTTCATGTCATCAATGACGGATCTAAAAGACTTGAACATAGCTAAATCTAGTGGAGGCAGGAGTTTATTTGCGCTCGCTACAGGTAATCACTAGGATGGTCTTAAGCCGCACATCCTCGCGCAAAATCTCGCTGTCGTAGTGACTGTTGCATTCGTCTGTACTAGAATCAGGAGTTGCTGCACAGCAAGAGAAACAGCGTCTGAAATTTGCCGGAGCCATCGGATGATCCCGCGCTATCCATATACCCCAGGGTATCAGTCGTTACGTCAACGCCCAAAACGTCGCACTCGTCTAACACGTCGCGAATAAACTCTCACCTGGTGTAATGTACAGCAAAACGAAGGGAAAGCTCTTCGCTGACGTGCAAGCGATGATCGTGAGCTGGAAGTTGCACTGACATGTCTTTCTTCACAAGTTCCTCAATTCCTTGACCACGACGGTGGTCGCCCACGACCACCTTTTATGCCTGCACTTCTGGGACAATCCCTTATCATCCATGTTGAAGACCCGATAAGAGCTTGGATTGTGCACGATGACTCGCTTCAGCTACTCGTTAAAGAACCCCAGTGTACAGTAGAAGATTACATCGTTCCGATCACGCTTGAAAGCCTGGAGGTATCGTAGCGATAGATTCGGATGATACTTGAGATAGCATGATACCCATTGTACCGATAGGAGGCCGGATCACCGCGTCACTCCGTACTCGGCCCGGTATATGTCGTTCGCCTTCGTCAGCACCACCTCGCAGTCGAGTAGCAGTCCGTTCTTCCGCATTCGACCACCCATTCGTGAAGATAATCCTCAAGTTTCTCTTCTTGGATTGGTGGCGGCCCGTGTTTGTGCAGAGACACGCGGTTCTTAAGCAAGTTTGCTCGATGTGTTGTTCACTACTGAACATCAGGATACTCGTTACAAACGCGGCTGATCTCGGTTCCTGTAACATAGGCGGGCAGAAGCTTCCAGATCTTTTGCTGCATAATTCTTTCGACTTAGTATACATGGTGGTCTTCGTGTTTCCCCTCTCTCTACCGCGCTCCGCGTCTTGACCCGACTCTCCGGCACGACACGTCTCGGCAATAAATGGGTAATCTACGTGACATCCAATCGTTGTATTTCAAGTGTAAAAGGGCACCGGTTACTTGACACTGACACAGTGGAAGATGATGACACAGAACACAGAGTAAGTAGGTGCCTCGAAACTTCACGTTCACGCGTCGTTCAGACGAATGTTTTAGTACAAGAAAGGGGTCAGAAGTAGAACTGCAACTCTTACGGGAATTCTCCAGGTATCAAATCATACTCAGTTTCCTTTTTACCGTTTTGAATCATAAACATGTGTAGTAACTATTTGATCACGACTTATTGCGTTCTTCTGTGTGGCTCGGCTTTTTCGATTAATATCATTGTATTGTATCTACAACTAAGAAATTGTATAACTTCTGCAACCCCTGATTACCTTTTGAACTAACAGTGTGAGAAATTGACGTTTGTTTTAGCATAGTATCCCTACCTGATATTCACCTTATGTTCAAGATTATGTAGTGGAGTCACTCCGTTACACTGTCAACTCGGACACATCGTAAGTGAAAAAATGGACTTGTAGATACTTCTGAGCAAGCGAGGTACGATAAAGCCCCTTCGATAGCGAGTGGAATCAAAGTCAGAAGATGTTGATCTACAGTCCGCCAAGGAGCCTATTCTACTGCAAAACAAAAAGCAAATTGTAGTTTTTGAAGTGCGCTCGCCCGAATAGCTGCTATTTTCTTTCCGCTTAAATGGATGGATTGAAGCGCGAAATGTTCTCTTTTACTTTTGCACATCATCTGAGGTCTCTACCTCTGCCCCTTAAAAAAGTTCATCTTAAATTTTTCACACCAGTACGCCTAGCATCTCTATTTTACACTTTGACGAAATGATTACGGCTCACGACCAATGCAATTTTAATCAGGACTCACAAAATGAGCTTTCGACGGACTCTTTCCTTCCACCTAAAACTGTCGTGTAGACGCCTCAGCTGCTAATTTTTAAACGCCATACACCAAGAGTAGACATTTACAAACCTGTTACTAACGGAGATCACTTACTGCATATACGTGAGACGCATATATATGTTGAGGAGACGTTCAATTTTTTTTTGGCTTACACCTCTCGATTCAGATTCAGTTATACATAACTTAAAGCCATTGGGTTGATTTAGGTTAAGATATTAACTTATCCAACCACACAACAATGGGAACTCACGATACGCGGCACACGTTATAGGTACTTTAAATGTGGAGCGTTTCACCCACCCAACACCTGAGTTTCAAGCACAATTCTACGCAGAAACAAACTCATTCACTTTCTTACATCAGCTTCCATCGCTCTAGTATGTATCGTACAACAGACAATTAAAGAACTTACTTGGATCCCTTGTACATCTTCAGTTCAGATTAGCGTATTTCAAAGGATGTTAGCAGCGACTTGTGAGATTCCTCTACTTTGCAAAAGAAACTCGATGCTCCTAAGTCTACGAATATTTCACCTTGGTCAACATGCCGAGCTAAAAGGAAGAAGCGGGGAGGACAGAAAAGCCTATCAGTACAAGCAAAAGTGTGACAAGTGTTTATCAACGTCCAAATGTAACCTTGGCCATAGGCACATTCTAATCCTATTGGACACCTAAGATCAACTTCATGTGAATAAAGAAGAATTGTTTTACACGAGTCACAAAACATTTACAAAGTCTGTTTGCCGAAATGTAGAACGGCTTAGATTGAAGTTTTGTTGCTACAAGATAATCGATTACAATATGACTAGCATTGTCTTATATCTTTAGCGTGATTTTTTTGAGACCGTTGGTCGGTTGTTGCTATGAAATGCGTAATCCATATGCTTCAACTAATTTATGATGCAATAGGAATTGACAGATCACGCCAATACAAAGCGTGTTTGTATGTAATAGATGCCTCCATTGAAAGTATTCTGTATTGTGAGTATTTTTTGATAGCATTTGCTTCACTACGGGCTGTTGGACTACGTGTGGTAAATGCAGAGGCTATAGGAAGCCAACCAGATATTGCATTTATAGCAAGTTTAGGTAAAGTATATGATGCCTTCCCTCGTTAAGCCTGAGGAGCAGGCAAATCCTGCTTTGCATTATATTGTTTAGACCGACACGCTGCCGTTGCCCGGAATTTCTCTTCGAATCTTACAGCTCCTAATAAAATTTTCCATACCAGCAAAAAGCGTATAATGTATTACTTTGATTAGATAAAATAATCTGTAGTATGAAGCAGCATGGAAGATCGACCTGTACAAACGTCTCACATAACGAGACTCCTCTAAAGACCTTGTGATTCTAAATTAATGCGTATAATATGGAAGCAAGATATGAAGTTTGCGACTGTGGAGATGATGCACCAATCCGTGGCACACGTATTGAATCTGATGGACTCAGAAGTTCTGCAGTACTTAAGACACGCCGAATAGGATGAAGAAGATAAGATATAGATCACATCTCTACTACATACAATTTAATACTTGAACCTCTTCGAATATTTGACATTGCGGACGAGTCTGACGGCTGAGATGTGGACATTACTACTGTTAATAAGAGAAACTAAAATTTGGCAAAGCACGTTACTATAAGGCCTTAATGGACGGAGCATGTTTCTTAAATAATGCATTTGCTGCAAACCGGTCGCAAAATCAACAGCATTCTCGTTGACGTTACTACCCGCTAGAAATCTACAATTCAAGTACATCGTATTCGAGAGAGCTATGCAGCTTTTGCAAGTCGTTTATTGCAGATCCCACCGATAGAAACGAGGACGGTCTCTCAGTCATGCTTATGCAAAGAAAAATCACAAAATGTGTGACGCAAAGATGGACGAATACCTACCTTTACTCTAGGTAGTTGCTTAACTTAGCAGCTCAAATTAACGAACAAAGAGCGGGAAAAGGTTGAACAGTTCTGCATTCAGTAAGCGCCGCTTTTCTGGACGACCATCGATTATATGCTTCAGATTAAACGACGCTCAGTACATTTATTCCACGACACTCGAACTTGTGGCATTGCTCTGAAAAGGTGAGCATCGACGTACGTCGTATTTTTTCTCATAATACATGAATGCTTGCCGATCACCTGAAATTATGGTACCTTAAATGCTGGAACGATATGACGCCACACATCGGGAATTCATGGCGCTTGCCATGTATGTCAAACTAAAATAGTGTCGAGATTGCCATTCAAGATGACGCCAACTGTGTTACAACCACCTTTGATTCAAAATAACGTGTTTCATTGTGTAATGGTATCAAAATATTGCCGCGATACATACAAGTTCGCAGTGTGAGGCACTTCGAAAAGTATCGCAGGAGCAGAGTCCCTGACATCGTCTGTCTACACAAATAAAGAGACGTCTTTTGACGTCGTTGATCAAATCACCTCTCCCATTGATCAAACATGGATTAAATTTGCATCAAATAAGGCTGAGGAAGAGGTAAAAAGATACCTTTCACTCATACCAATAAATAGAGATTAGTCAACATCAAAGTGGTAGGCTCTTCACCATCAGCATATTTTCACGCAGAGAAGGGTGGTCCACTTCTAGTTCACAATTACTGCCAGTTCAACACCCCCGGAAAGGGTATTTTTAAAAGGTTGGCGGATGTACCGTTGGTATAGAACGTCGCCCGTTAGAATAAAGCTTAAATTGGCTTTATATCTTGATACCTGGATCAGGACAAACAAAGAGAATGTTCCCTTGCCTGGGTCTCGTGAGTATTTCCACTATTTTTCTTTTGCATTACCCATTTCCTACTTAAGCTAGTACCTCGGAGACGTAAAGTGTGTACTATTTTCTATTTCTTTCTGATTACTTTCGTTTTCTGCGTCAATAAAGACGCCGGATCAATATTTCAAATCCATCGAACACTCTTAAATGGTTACACGTATACGTGCAATCTTCCACGAGCGCGATTCCGAGTCATAGGTACTTACACCTGAACGAGCTTGGGCCATGGGTAATCATTACGTACCCGACCAATGAATTATGGGCACTTGCTCTGTTTGTGCAAGCAATTCAGGTAGTGTACTTTCGATGACCGCTCAGGGTTCCAACAACAATAGAATTCCTCTTGAGTCGCTGCCAAGCATGCAAATTGCTGCAAGTCCACGTAAATTAAGGCTGTGTTGATGTTGATTGAGTCCAGATGTTAGACCAAAACGACGACGGTGTTTCACATGTCTGCGCAAACGAATGATAACTTTCTCAGTAATTATACTTTACCTCACTGCAAGGCTCCAACCGATATGTGACCAGAGTAAAAAATCTACTTGCAACCCTTACGAACAGAAACTGGTGGTCAATTTCCTTAACACTGAAGTAACAGACCGACCAAGGAGCTCGATTTACAATCAAGAAAAATGTTAGCGTATTTACAGAGATATGCACTACCGAAAATTAAATGATTATTGGATAAGCTCATGTGATATTGACTAAGAATATTTGCAATAAATTTCGACAATCCAGGAGACGTGCATTTTATTATTTTGGATTTGTCTACCAACCTGTCAGCTTCCAAGCTTGATAACCTTCTTTGCAAGTTTTGGCATGGAAAGGTTTGAAATACGTGTGGAAAAGTCACGCTTCTAAATTATGCCAGCGGTTCCCGGCCGCCATAGTCGGAAAACAGACCCGGATATTTGGTGGAAAATTGCGGGAAATGCAACCGGATGCTAATCTTAGTTGTGTGTTAGCTCAATTAGCATGATATCAGACTAGGATAAGAAACGAAATGGT